GGAGGAAATGTTGCATCGGGATGCAGGGCAGTGCTCCCTGTCACTGATTGGTGGGAGGTCCAGCTGGGCCAATGTACTCTTTAGTACAGAATGCAACCTACTATTTACTTACTATAAATGGGATGGGGAAGAACTGAAGGAGAAGGAGTTGTTCTACCTTTAAAATTCTAGGCTGGATCTTTAATTATGCTGTTGTTTCTATTACACAAATGCTTTTATCATGGAAACAAAGATTCAGGGACAAAAATGGGAGAGCCTTGTGTGATAGGTCTCAATACAGGTGAATGTTCTCTTTTAGACTATGAATGAATAGTCCTAGTCTCAGAATATATTGTAAAACTGTACTACTTACAGAAAGGCCTGAACAACTGCAAGATCTGCTCTTAATGCAGGAATGAAGTGTTTCATAACATTTTTGTTCTGTAGAAAGTCAGGAGGAGTACCTCCAAGAGACTGTATCCCTTTGATAATTTCTTCTTCGTCCTGGTCTTTTACCGTGTGGAGAGGATAACAACATGTTGTCTGAAAGCATCATATAAAATATATTAGGTGTTTCATAAAATACACTGTAAACAACTGTCTCTAAAAGATTTAAGTCTTAGGAAAGAAGCTTAAAGAACATCTAACCTGTAGTGTTTTCCCCTGTCCCCAATATAATAGTTGCATTATGATTTAGCAGCTGGTTGGTTTCAGAAGTCACATAATCTTTATAGAGATGATAATCTTGGAGTGGAAAAGAGGCTGCCCTAACACTTCTATAGAACACGCTGTAGTGGTTATTAAGTGGACTATAACAAAAGGTATTGCTAAAGCTTTGTGTCTGTCTCTTGCTGCTAGACAATAGTTTCTGAAAATGTAGCTTGTGAGGGAGACAGAAATATAAAAGCTATTCAATTTTTGGTGTGAATTTTTTATTCTAAATCCTGAAACCAAACTACCAAAATAATGTCTTTATCAGAAAGCCAAAGCAAGTAATTTATACATGATAGTTGTATAGCTAAGTGCTATTTTATTTCATATTATCAAAGATTATATCACTTACATGTGGGGCACCTGCGCTTGATATAAAAAGATGCTCTGGTTGTAGTCCATATTTTTTTTTCAAGTGTACTGCAACTGCAAAACTAACATATGATCCAAAACTGCATTTAAAAGAGAAGCCAAATTAATCTGATTAAACGTATCTTGCAGGACACATTTAAACACAGTTCGAATCCCAACTCTAGTAAGGTGCAATTACTGTGGTAAACATTCTTAGAAACCATAAAATGGTACCTTGGAGCAGTGTGTTATAGGTCTCGAATTCCGAGAAGTAACTTTAAAGAGTAATGATGTTAGTCAATTCACATGTAAAAGAGAAATCAGATTGCAGATCAGACCTAGTACAGCACTTTTGCTTCTTTCACGGTTCCACTTTGCTTTCAGTATGAATGAATGTTTTGAATATTCCTTGAAAACTAAGTAACCTTCAAAAGCCATTTGCTCTTCCATTATTAGTGTAAGCGGCAACATTACTATTAGGAGTAAACAGTCATAATCTAAGTAATGATTATTACACTAATACATTTATTTAGAAGGTATCTGTACCTGAAAGGTTCTAACCCTGACCGATATACATAAACAACAAGAATTTCAAAAAAGCAACAGAGAAAGGATGGTCCAGTGGTTAAGGCACTAGCTTAGCCTGAGCGCAAGTCCCTGCTCTGCCACAGACTTACATCATGACCTTGACCTAGTCATTTAGTCTCTCTGTGTGTTCATTCCCTCTCTGTAAAATGGGGCTAGTAGCACTTCCCTGACTCACAGGGGTATTGTGAGGTTGAATACAATAAAGATTATGAAGTTCTACAATGAGGGGGCCATATAAATACCAGAGAGAGATCATGGCTATAAGCAAACAGATCTCAGAAGTGGCATAACTTATCCCCCCACATCAGTGCCACTGATGTACTTTGGCATGTAGTGTGGCAGGCATTCTACAGACAGGTTGTTGACTGAAAGTACTCTGCCTCAATGGAACTGTGCCAATGTACACCAACAGAGGATCTGGGCTGCAGGGTGAGACAGTGAGCAGTTCCAATTCTGCTTGTTTCACATGTCACTCTCGGTGATAAGGCCAAACACTGTGCCGCCCAGAGAGTGGTCATTTATTAGTTAAGGCTTTATGTTATATGTGCTTTGACAGGCATAAGCTCTGTAATATGTACTAGCTGACAGTTGGTTTTCAAGGATATCCCAAAGCAATTCATTGCAGTAAAACACAAAGGTGTGGATTACCATGGAGAGATCTCCATTCAGAACAAGTAAACTTCCAATATTTTGAAAATGGAAAAAGCCACTTGGGCCTCCATATTCCACTTATGGTCATAACTGACTGCTCAATCATGAATCCAGTTCTGTAAATCCCATTAAGAGAGAGGAGAGCTACTGAGGAAGAAATATGCCCCAGAAGTTTTCCACTATCCAGAAGCAATAGCTCAGTCTTATCTGCACTGAGCCTCATCCACCTGTCCCACATCCATCCTTGCAAACTCAGCTAGGCAGGAAAGGCACTGCTCTGCTGCAGGGACACATTCATGTAGATCGGGGCATACTGCAGATATCTCAGGGTGGGTATCATATCAGTTCTCTGAGTGGCTCCACTTGTACACTGAACAACAAAGATGACACATGATCACCACTAGAATCCATATAGAAGTGATTTCAAGATAGGTGTGTAATCACCCAAGCTCCACATCTGCAAGTAAATCTACTCTGGAACAATCCTAGTCGGACAAACAGCTCCTTGCAGTTGATGGTTTCAAAAGTACTCAGTAGATTTTTCTACTGGTAATATCAGACTGCTTCACAGAAATGGCAGACACTACATACCACTTGGCTATACCACAGCCCCAACTGGATTGGTATATATCAAATAGTCTCCTTCCAGGCATATGCTCATGAAGTAGACCCAGTTTAGCCACCATTCCTTATAAAAAAAGGGAGGTCAGAGTCTAGGTAATAACTAAGCACAATACTTAGTTTCAACAACAGGATAATGAACTAATACATAATAGAGAATAACTGGCTAGATGGTAGTACTCCAGAAAAGGATCTGGGGGTTATAGTGGATCACAAATTGAATATCAGTCACAATGGAAAAAACTCTTTCATAGCTCTAGTGTCTACAAATGTGCTGCTGTAGCACTTGTAGTGTTGATCTTCCCTATGATTCTGTTTCAGCCAGTCCAGCACTCTGCCTTGGGGGAAAGAGCTAAGTAAGTCACTGTCTACGCTGTGCACCTTACAAGGGCGCAGGTGTGCCACGTAGCTACGCCGTTGTAAGGTGCACTGTGTACCTGAGCTTTATCAAAATAAAACCACCTCCGACGAGGGGCAGTAGTTTCATCGCTGGGAGCGTGGCTCCCGCCGACAAAGCGCCGTCCACACCAGTGCTTTTCTTCGGTAAACTTTTGTTGTTTTTTCACACCCCCGCGTGACAAAAGTTTTAAGAACAAAAGTGCCAGTGTAGATAAAGTATCCAGCCACAGATTTTAGGCTCCTTTGCCACATATTTAAAAAGATTTTTTTTACCTGTGACCAAAAAATGCAAAAGGTTTCTCTTGCAAGTCTTGAAGCAAAACACTAGTAATGTCATTAACGATAGTTTTCATGTCTTTTGCAAAAGGTTCATTAACACGAGAGTCTCTTCCAGGAAGACTTACAGAATACACTAGAGGGGAAAAGAAAATTATGGTCATTTCAGGTCACTCTAAAATTCATGCCTTTAGATTACCAAAACAGAAATTAACCACACAGTTTTTATTTATTCTGCAGAAAGCAAATATTAACAGCCAGTTACATAAAGGAAGGTTTTTACATTAGTGATGATAATGATTAGGTGAAGTTTTAACTCTGTGGTCGAAATGTAAAGGGCAGCATGGGCTTCACTCAAGAGCTTGGTATTAATATTTTTATTCCCAACTATTATTTGTCCAGTTTATTTGGATTGTAAGATCTTCGGGGCAGGGACTGTCTCTTACTAGGAGTCTTGACAGAACCCTAGCACATGGGCCCCTGATCTTAGGTGGGGCTTCTAGGTATTATTGAAATATAAATAATAATCAGCATTTTAGTTGAAGAATAACTAGTATGAATGTTCTCTATAAAATACCGTCTCGCTAGAATCCTAAACTCTATTGGTAACTCTTTTGCACACCCTTTAATGCAATCTTTTTTTCTTTGAAGGCTTTTCACTTATTACCCATAGTAGAACTTGGAATCGTGATATTTATTGACATGGTTGTATATTCCTTTCAGAAGCTTGGTCTTCAAAGGACCATCCCTGGATTTTTACCCCACTGTTGTACTGGGCAACTGAACAATGGGTTAAATTGTAAAAATATGTTACTGTTTTTTTCATTCTCCTTTTCATAGGACGTGTCCTTCAAAGGTCACATGGAAGCAGGAGGGGTCATACACACCAAGAAGCAAAAAGTATTGTACTTAAAATAAGCCACCACATAACATAATAGATAGCAGGACAAAAATATAGGGTCAGGCCTTTTATAACTTTTTTGAGCAAAGTTAAGACAGTTCTGAAAGCGCATGCTGCTCTCTGAATTTTACTCAACAGTAGTTGCAATTGTTCTGAGGCCCCCCTCTCCCAGTAGCTTTTCTGGAAGTATTTCCGTCTAAACAGAAGACTTTTTTTTACTTCAAGGAAAATTGGATGTGACTGGCACAGCAATTCACTGGAGGTATTCAGAGTTTAGGGGACTGGTTTTATTTCAATGCTAATGCTCTCGTGTAATGCCAGATTATTCTCTTTTCTTTGTGAAAGGTCTGGAAAATAGCCATGGCTTCTCCCCTTCAAAAAGTGCAAGTATGAACCTTTTCCAGAGCTGATACAACGTGATAGCCATGGGAATTACTTCACTCTGTAACTAAATGCCATTTTACTGTTACAAAGCCATTGTGTGACATTGGTTTTGATACAGGGAATGTAGAATCATGCAGAGAAGTTTAGCTAACTTCAATTCATTCTGCACAGGAAAAGGGTCTGTAGCTTCCCAGCATACTGAAATGAATTTTTAAATATCCTTTTTGAGCATTTTTGCTGCATGTACATTTTTTTAAATATAACCAAACATGTTACTGTATTGCTGACCCATTTAACAGATCTGTTTCTAAAAGAGTCAAGCCTGTTTTAGCTTTGAGAAAGAAATTTAATTTGAAGGTAGTTATATTCATGTTTTGAACCCAGGAACTTGGGACCTGCTTTGCAGTGGCATAGGAGTTGAGGGAACTCAACATCCCAATGGAGGTATTAAGCACTTTGCAGGAGGGAGCCATGGTAAGAACATTATTAGAAAGATAACTCAGCTCTCTTTACTAGGGCTGAGAATAGTCTGTTTAAGATCTTACTACTCTGCATGTTAGTATCCTGTCTAGATGGCCCATCGTTATTAAATTGTACTTGTCATACACAAAAATTACTGACCTTCTATTGAGTTGTCAAAGAGTTTGCCCCATTTTGCAAAATGGGTAGCGCCACTTCCAGCCCAGGGGAAGCAAATCAGCCTATAAAGCGCGTTAGGCCTTCTGTATAGACAAGCAACAACCTTCTCCATTCTTGAGGAAGACAAAAAGAAATCTCATTCATTTGTTCTGTTTGGTTTTTTATTTAAATTAAAGACTGTGGTTCTAGACTTCATTTAGTTCGAAACAGGCCAATAGTTTCTATTGTCAAAACTGCTAGCACTGTGTCACCAGCCTATTGAAAAAAAAAAAGTCCTTTTATTTTTTTCAAAAAAATTCCAGCAGGCTGATCCTAAAGCACTTGTCAAAGTGCAAGGGAGAGGAGAAGACCATCTTAATTTCTCAACTGCCTATTTTTACAGGAAGTTGTGTCCTATTAAAATAACCTGTAGCATTGGTAAAAAAAGAAAAATCACATCAATACAAATTGGAAATCCAAACTGGAATCCCTGAACCATTATTTGAAAGCCCAAATCAATACATTTGCAAGCTTCCATTTTTTAGTGATGGATACAGATTAGCCTCTAGTAGAAGTGAAATCAACATCACCATATTTTTTCCTCTCAGGCCCCTGGGGAAAAAAAGCAACAGAGGTAATGTTTTCTATTCCAGGTCTTGATAACAAGATGAAAGTGGAAAAAGTTTTGGTTTAATCATTTCTACTAGTTGGCCCATTGACCAGCTTTATAACCTTTGTTCAGTGGTTGATGATTGCTCTAAAATAACAATTGCAAGTCTCAGCTAATGAATGAATATGAAGATTAATTTAATAACTACAGCGAGTGACAACAATTGTTTGTTTATTTCCCTACCGTATTGAAGGGAAAGCAAGCACATCCATCACCTTTCACAGTCCAAAGTCTACTGATCAGGCCTGTGGTATATATGCTTAGCAAATACCAAAGGGTAGTAAAGATTAACTTACACTCCGACACATTGATCAACCTGCAAACTATGCACAACTTGGAAGAATATTTGTTATGAGTATTTCCTCTATTATTGTGAAGGTAAATTAGCTGGTTTTAGCACTGAGTGTAAAAACCATAGGAACAATTCTTACTTTTGTTGCCTGATTTCTTTGTCTCTACTCTTGCTGTTTAGTAGTGAGGGTGATGCACACTAGTTATAGTGTACAAGGGGAATGCTCTGTCAGTGTGTTATTTGCTTCTCCCAGTTTGATACCTCAGTTCCACCAATATCCAAGCACAGGGGGATATCTTTGAACGTAAGGACCTTCTACAGCTACATATTACTGGAGCATCACCTGTAAAGGAGAAATAGATTAGAAGCTATACTGATGAAAGAACACACTTGTGTGCTCGATTTATGTACAGTTATTGTTGTGGAGGCCAACTATAGGGCATAATTCTCTTCTTTTTTTGCTCCAGTTTTGTAACAACATATGTCCATTCTATTGAATGGAGTTACTCCCAATTTACACAGGAGTCGATGACAGAAGAACCAGGACTTCTCCACTATTTCTTCCACCAAAGATCAATGCTTGGGGAAAAAAAAAATTTACTGGTTCCAAAAGTATTTATTTATACTGGTCTGTTAGAGTGTTTATAGCCTAGGTCAGTGGTCTCCAGGGGGTGTGCAAGAGGATCCTTTGGGGTGCACGGCAGGCGAAGCACCACTGGAGCAGCGCCGCCTCCCCCCCCTCCCCGCCCCCCTCGGCAGTTCAGCCGGGAGTCCGAGCGGCTTTTTTCTTTTTTTTTGGCTTCGACAGCTCCGCCGGGGGGGCGTGCTCAAAAAATTTTTACTGATGGGGTGCGCGATCAAAAAAGTTTGGAGACCACTGGCCTAGGTAAGTAATGAGATATTAAGCTGAAAAAATCACCAAATGAAAAATAATTGGGGTCATGCTTTTTTATGTTTCTTTATGGTGAAATTTTGGGGGGTTTTTGTTGTTTGGTTTGTTTTCTGTGGTTTTGGTTGGCTGAGATTTTGTGGGAAAGGATTTAAAAAAATTTATTTTCTGCTTGTCTTGTCTGCTCTGAATCTTTATGGAAGCATGAAGAACTGGTGCAATTATGACATCACAAGAGACAATTAACTGAAAGCCGAACAACTGAGCTGGGAAGTGATTTTTAGTCAGATTATTTAAAACTTTGCCTTTTGTTCCCTTTCTTAACACTTATTCACCTTCTATGTCAAATAAGCATTTGGAAGAAAGTTAAAAATTCAGCACTGCCTGTCCTAATGATTTAAGAGGTGAAAGAACTCCCAGTCCAGATCTGAGAACTCTTAATGAGCCTTCCACCAAAAATCAGGAAAGATCAGACTTAATCCTGATATTTCTAAGGTAAAAATTAAGCAGGGAATACATTGACAAAATGTTTTAGCCTTCTTTCTACACCCCTGAGAAATTTAAAAGGGCCCAAGGGCAATTAAAAAAACGTTTTCAGGTCAACTTGAATCTCTGATTCTAATGATTTGGAAGACATATCAGTTGCTATAATCATTTTAGAACTGAAGTGTGAGAGGGACACAGATAGCAATCAGATGACAAGATATTAAAGATCCCACATTCTGCAGCCTGCTGAAGCTGCTTTGGAAAGCAGAGAATCCGTCAAACTCTGATATTTGGAACAGCCTCACTCCTCCATGCACACTGGAAAACCTCACTCTCCACCTCCAACCCACACTTCTTTGCTCTGTAATTCCACCACTAATCTCTGTTTGGGTGGCCTCTATTATCACTCCTACACTTTTTAACTTTCATACTACAGTAGCTCCTAAAAGCCTCTACCAGGATGGGTCCCATTGTGCTGGCCCTTGTCCACACAAATAATAAATGACAATCCGTGCTCCCAAAGAGCTTACACCTGATCCTGAATGGATTTAAAACAAAACAAAGCTATAACAAACAAGTGTAAAAATCAATTTAAACACATTTCCCCCTCTTCCTGTTTTGTCACCTCACTGCCAACATAGTGATTTAGAAAGTTTTTGCTTCTCTGTTTTGCTAGACTGTAAAATCCATGGGACTCGGACCTCTTTGTAGGTTTGTGAAGCATTATGGAAGCATATAGCTTCTAATTAGAAAACAACAACCGACACAACCACCCATATCTAAAGCTCCAACACACAGAGATTCCAATTTGGCTGGACAAACTCATTCAGTAACAATAGGAACTAGCCTGAACTTCTGCAATCTTTTAACCCAAACTGTTATTCATAACATTCCTTATTCTAGCATAAATGTTGTTTCAAAGACTCAGATTCTTCCAGTGATTAAAGGCTTCATATTTCCCAAGAGCATAGGAAGCAGGAATTCCTGAGATCCCGTCTCAACACTGCCACTGACTTGCTGTGTGGTTTTGGGGCAAGTCACTTGTCCTATCTGTACCTATTCCTCCAGCTGTGAAATAGGGCTATTACTAGTCTCCTCCTCACACTGGGTTTCTGAGGTTTTAAATAATGGTCCAATAATAATCTTTCATCCAAAGATCCGTAAGTTCTTTACAAAGGTGGGTACACAAGTCAGTGGTAGAGTGATGAGTAAGACCAAAGCCTCATGATCATGCCAAACTCATCTATCTCTTTATTGCTATTCTAAACTATGGGAGCTATTTTAGTCAATAACAGTACCTTCTGACTGTTTTCTTAAGCTCTCAGCATTTTGCCTTGAGCCACTCTGCTGAGCAGTAAACCCACCCCAGCATGATTTGTTTCCATTCTGCACCATATTGCCAGCATTTATGAACTAATGATCAGTGTCAATTAAGTAAACAAAGGCATTTTAAGTTCCTTCTAGCCTTCTCCTATAAAGCAATTGGATCACAGTTTGAGATCTGCAATTTAGCAGGTCATTAGCGTAATTTTGACTCTGGAGTGACTGGCTGCATACTCTGATGGAATCCTAGTTGGCTGGTTTGTGCTGCCCTGCTGCTAGTTCTACTAAAGTTAGGGTGACCAGATAGCAAGTGTGAAAAATCAGGATGGGGGTGGGGGATAATAGGAGTCTATATACGAAAAAGCCCCAAATATTGGGACTGTCCCTATAAAATCAGCACATCTGGTCACCCTAACTAAAGTACATACGGCTTGACTTAGAGTAACCAGACACATAGGACACCAGAGAAATGCAAGGGTATTAGACTGTCTATCAAAATCATTTCCATACATTTCACCCTTGGGTTTTACTAACTGTAAATGTTCTTAATATGTTTTAAACACCTTTTCTACTTGTGGTAGCAATCTTAACAATATGTTAATGCTGTATGTGAGTGTGTGTGTGTATGTGAGAGAGAGAGAGAGAGCACGTCTATCTGTCTGTCTGTCTTTCTAAGGAATATAAAAGAAATGTGCCTTACCGAATACACCCAGCAGGTGGCTGACGTTAACCCGCACAGGGAATGTAGTGCACAACATATTCAAGTATAAAGCCCAGTGAATGAAGATAGCCCATGCACACCATCCATTAGGAAAGGAAAAAGATTTAATTTTTATAAGACAACCGAGAAAAGGGAGATTGAAGATCAATTTTTGAAATCGCTTTATGTTCAAATATCAGTATAAGGATGCTTAAAACTTAAAAAGCCAGTGTATTTGTTTTGAGCTGAGAGAAAAAAAAATGTAAAAAAAAATGTAATGCAAGCAATTATGTTACTACAATATCCAGGGCTAGATTCTGCTGCCTTTAATCGTGGTGAGTAGTGCTTACTCCACAACTAATCACAAGGATTTTTAGTTTTCTGATCTTCAGCATTGTCACTCTGTAAGTATCATTGCTGAACACCAGTTCACATAGGATGAAAATGTAGTCCCTGCATAATAAGGCTTGCACAACTCTTAAATCCCATTTAAAGTGTAAAGTTAGAGCTTGACTGTGACTTAAGTGCTTCATAGGCCTTGTTTTGCCCCCCTGAAATCCACCGATAAGAGACTGCAAGTGGCTGTAGATGGAGAAGGGGGTCCTCCTAAAAAGGCATGTTTTGCACCCTCCAGGGATACTGGGAAAGAGCAGTTCTTGTGAGGTCACAAGCATCAGAACTTCATTTTCACAACCTGGCATGCAGGCCACAGCTGGCTGCTATAAAGAAATACCAGTTGATTTTGCACTAGTGCCTGGGACAAGCAGACAGTCTTTGTCATTTAAAATAAATACAAGGAACGTGACCGACCTTTGTCCATAAAATGATAGTGTTCTTCAGCACCCACAGCTGATTACCTGACATGCACCCTGTATGTAGAAGGAGGCAGCCACTTGGGTTTGTGTGTAAAGATTTTATCATCCTGTGTCATCCTGTCACTGCCTTTTACGCAAAGCCCAGCTATCAATCAACTATGTTTCTATAACACACTGTAGAAAAACGCACACTGGCAATGGGGAAAAATCACGGTGGTGGCCACATTGCCTTAAAAAGGAAAATACAAGAAGACATTTTTGGGGGAGGAACATCCTCATACTCATCTCTTTGGAAGTTCCACTCAACAGGGGTCTGAAAGGAAGATTAGATGTTATAAATTTTTTATAGATGAGCAACCTAACAAAAGCACAGTGTGTTTCCTGCACACTTGGCTAGCATGCTCCGACTCCAAGGAGGAAGAGGCAGAAGAGGAGGATTGTGACCTGGATCACCTCAGGGAAAGGAGGCTTCCAGGTGTGAGGCAACAGCATTCCCCACTATGCAGGAAGGTATGTTGATGGAGGAGGAGGACTGTTTTCACCTTTGATGACTGTCTCATCGAAGTAAAAAGACTGTTCCCACCCAAGGAGTTTCTTCCTCCAGAGTCCGCTCCTCTTAGTAGCTCCAAATGAACTCCGAAAGAACAGCAGCCAGCTTCCCTCTGACGACACAGGATAAAGCAGGACCCCGCCTGCAGTATGTTCTCCCTC